GAATCGGTGTCGGTGGTGTCAACGAGGGGTGCGAGCCGATAAAGGTAATATCGGCGGGCTGGCTCGCCAATGCACGAGATGGCAATCAATCGGTTGGCACTGGTATCGCTGTCTGTCAACGACGCCCAGGAAGGGATAGGATTTGTATCATTGCCTGTCTTGTTGCTGGGCGATGGCACCATTTGGGATTGGAATTGGGAGGTCACTCGCATTCGGCGTCTGATACCATCCGGACGGCTATCGGAAGGGCAGATATGGTTCCTGACAGGCTGCGCCGCGCCCGTCACAACGATATGCCACGGAGCCAGGCCCCACTACTTGCATAGACCAGAGCGCCATTGACACCCTGGGCGTCGCCCACCGCCCTGTAGTCGCCTGTAAGGGCCAGTCCCTGGCTGCTAGATACAGCGCAGGGGACCTATCACGTCAGCGGGGCTTGCTGCCCCAATCCATCAAAGTTTTTCCTCCACTGTGCCCATTCCGCTGGGAGCACACGCCCAAAGGGGCACTTGAGATTGTCCTCGATACCATCGTCTCTGGCGCTGCAACTGCCGGGCCATGGATCACATCATGGTCAGGGGCTGGCCGGCAGGCAGCATTTACAGTTTGCATTGATTCCCCTGGGGTTGGTGTCATTGGGCGCTAAGAAGGTGCCATGTCAGGGACCAGCATTCAGATTAACCAGCGTCGACTCAGGTGCTAACGTGGACAGACCGCTTATCTTTGAGCCTGCCTCGAAAACGTGCATGTGTGAAATTATGGCGTTATCGATGCCCGGATCGACCCCGACGAACCGGCGACGGCGCTTGGCCTTCTGGGGTACATGGCAGGGCCTTCTCGGAGACATGATTGATCTTACAAGTACCCACCGGCCACCCATTGTTTAGGCTTACAGTGCAACGCCCCGTTTGACCCTCTGCGCACCCCGTTATGGATAGAGCATGCATGTCAGGGAACTAGAAAATGATGAAAATTGCATATTGTGCGGTGCACGGGAAAAACTCCGTCGAAGAGTGATCAGAAGGCCGCGAAAAGCAAACATTGGCCCGTCAGCTGGACACTTGTCCCTCGCCGTCGTAAAATTACCGCCAAGCTTCAAAAGCCGCGTCCGCCACCCCGAGGCAATCGGAAATAGGTCCTCATCGGCTGCCGCCAGATCATTACGTACTAAAGCAGCCCTATCCTCTCAGTGACCTGTGGTCTTGCGCCATAGCTGGAGGGCTCGACAAGGCTCCGATACCCAGCCGACCCTTCCGAGGCACGCGGTCGGCTGGTCACCTAATGGCGCTTGTCGCCTCCGTCTCCCTAGCCAAGATCTTCTAACACTGCCCAAGTCTGGCGCCATGTTCTGGAACAAACCAGCATTTTATTACTCGGAATTTATGAACCCTGACTCAGAAGCCAAAGCACATCATCAGGCCCGACGGCGATCCAATGGCGGCCTCCGTTCTGGCCTCGTGACCCGCACTGTTTTCTTATTCCTAGATTTTCTTTTGGGGAGCAGTGGGCCCTTGCATCGTCTTCCCGTAGACTAATTACGGCTTCTTCTCTCCCTTCACGAGTCGCAGCCAATGGCTCTCGCAAACCTACATTATTCGATGTAGCCACGGCGCACAACTGTGCCAGTAGCGCCGGGTATAGGTTAGTAAGCTCGTGCAAGGGGAAGCAATGCAAAGAAACCCCTGTCTATCCTCAACCAGCCAAGCCAGCCTCCGAGCCTTGCTGATCTGTGTTTGTTATCTCACACAACAGCCATGCCTGCTGTTTCCGGCAGATTCCCTCGACGTCTCACTCCTTTCCATAACCCCATGCTATAAATGAAATCAATCTCAAAAGGTCCTCTACGCGGGGAAGGCAAATTCTGCCCCGGCAGCTTACAAATGGCACATGAGAAAACCGGTCTGCGGTTTCAAAATGCCTGTGCGAGCTCACCATTTTCGTATGCTATGGCGAATCCAGATGTGTAAGGATCTGGCTGCCACGAATTGCAAGCTGATAAGTCGGTCGCGGCAAGCTAGATGTCACCGGGTGCGCCGGATCAGAACTTTGTTGGCCAAGGTCTTGGATTGCACCTTAAAAGGTAATTAATAGGTGCTCCTCTGCTCTTCCACTCAGTCAGCTCGATCGAAAAACTCGCCGAAATATGAACGACGAGGGTATAAGCCACCCCTTGGTGTCGATGACGAACATGAGTCTATCTGCGAGTCAGCACCGTCACCGCTGGTCCTTAGCCTTCGCGTATGTGAATGACAGCGGCCATCAAGCCCAGCTGCAAGGAAGCTCTGTCCTGATGGAGAATTGTGCAATTTCTCAGCTTCCTAGTCTGCCTCCTTGAGAAACCCCAACATACCCAACATGTGAGTGAAAGAATGTGGTTCGAATTTGGATTTTTTTTTTTTAATCCTCTGCATGCTGCATGGTGGATTGATGCGATCCACAAGCGCCTTGGTTCCTCTTCTCAATGATCTGGCTATGTTGCATAATTATCTGCTGCGTGGTTGCATTGGATCGGTTCGTCCCAGTAATGACACAGAGATCGGGGACTCTCTTCTTCCTTTATCTGCCTTTGCGCTTGAGAGCACTCTAGCTGATTGAACTGTCTGGGACCATGAATGAATGATTCATCACTGGATAATTCGATATCGTCATAGATGCCATGAAGATAGCCAACAGTCGAGATAGAGGACGAGTTTGGAGTTTCCCAGGGCTTGTTGAAAAAATATAAAGCCTGTTGGCATTTCTCCATTGAACGAAAAGTCTTTTCAAACCAAAGAGTTCCCCTTCAGTCCAGTACCCTGGTGATCTGTATTATCGAAGTGATAAATTGCAACAAAATACAATGTCATCCGAGAACCTTCAAGATGGCCCTACAGGCGAATTCCGAGACGACTCTTACGTCTCTCGCCCAGGGACCAAGGGTGAAAACATTGCTGTCCAAGCCGACACCGATCCCGTGGAGGACCCAATTGACGCTGGGGTTGCAGACACCGACGAGCAGCTTCGTAAGTTCCCAATATAAACAAGACTCAAATCAGCTTGTCATCTAGAATATATAACTGATCAGTAAATTATTTTCCTCAGAACGTGACGATGTCGAAGCCATTGACAAAGACAACATTCTGAAGGGTGGCCGAACTAGAAATGCCGGGAAGCCAAGTGGCACATACCGCGAACCAGGAGACGAAGAGGGTATTCCTTCCAATGATGGCACGAGCTCAACCAATTAGAGCCAAGTCGGAGCGGGAGGCTGGAAACGTGTGTCAAATTAGGGGATAGCGGGCGAACGCCCAGATCGGTGTTTGTGAGACTATGCCGCAGAGTTACTGATAATCAATATATCATACGACGCTCCCATTTACCTCTTCAGTCACGAGGTGACGCATCGTTGAGACAGATATGTGGATCTATTCAATGTCCGACGAACACCGTCGTTAACAAAGTGTTCCCTTTCGAAATGATAACTCGATGTGATACAAAACTACCTCCAGGCGGGAATGCCAGATCAGCACCATATGACGGTATCACACCCATCAGTAAATCAGAAATTGCCCAGGCGGCTGAAAGCTCCAGAAATTGCCCTGGCGCGAACTAGCGAGCCCCCAAAGCCTATCAGCCGGCTGGGGTTGACGATGTCTCACACAGCGACGTCGTCCATACCTGAGGATGGCAGCCAGTCTGATGCCTAGGGCTTGCCACGAACACGTTGGTTGCGCCTCCTCCGTATTTCTGCTCTAGGGCTTTCTTCTCTTCTTGCCACTGCAAAAAACTGCCCAACTCTGTTGTTCGCTGGGTGGACGAGGTGATATTCTTGCTCGAAAGTTGCCCAAATCATTATGAACAACCCCCAAGGACCGCCACAGCATTACCCCAATAGCCACGAGTCAACGCATGAAATTTACCGAACACCAAATTTCAGTCGCAACGAGAGTCCACGATATCGCCCTCCAGCTTACGGAGCTGGGCGGCCTCCGCCTTTATATCACGAGGGTACGAAAGACGACGAAACGGCGAAAGCAAAAGCCAGGAAGACAGCATATCTCCGACTCGCCGGCTCCTTCTTGATCGTGGTCATCATTTCTCTCATCGTAGCCGGTGTTATCGGTAAGATAGTCATAACGAAGAGGAACGACCAAGAGTCCAATGACCAGTAGGTACTCTGTTCACATGAAGCTGTAGCACGAATATGACTTGCAAACTGACATTGCGCAAAGGAATAACACGACACCAACTGAAACGGTGTCTGCAACCCCTCACGCAGACCATATGATGGCATTTTCTCCGACACCTTTGATCTCAGTCACGCCAACGACGCTCATCCGCAGTACAACTACCAAGAGCTGCAGGAGGAGTGATGCAGCACCAAGAGCAGATGTTCCGCAAACAGCACCTCCTTGTGACATCGTCTTCTTCAACGACGATGGTCTTGCTAGAGACGCTCAACTCATCGGCGTTTCGACCCATCGCTTCCAGGGGTGTTTGATATCACAGGCATCCTATATGGGGCCTGATGGGGCACTCCGTTTCCGCTGCTCATCATCTTGTCGACGTACGAGACTTGACGGAGAGCCAGCGAGAGCCGAAGTCACTGACGACTGGGGCAGCTGCGGTTAGGTGGCGAAGAGTTAGATGGGACTGAAGCGAAATTAACCAAGATCTCAGGTCGATTTCTTCAAGTTAAAACGGAAGTAGAAGACATCCTGGGGAAACAAAGTGGCTAGATGCAGATTTGTAACATTGAAAAAAATATCTAGTCGTATTGATGGTTTTTAATGAGATAGGCAGGTCGCTGTTTAGGGTAGGTAGTTAATTGCTCTGGGGCGGATCGAGCCGGGCCCCACTTTGGGCTAGTTTCCTGCGTATCATATCACATCAAAAAACTTGAGCTGCATTGAAGTTTTCCCATATCGTATCCCACCGGCAGCAGTCGCCTCTTCTCCAACTCTCTGTGCGATGAAAATATGGCAGACTCTAACGCAGCTTCTGCCTCCAGCACTCCAAGCATGGGTGCGCCCAGCGGCGGCTCGAAGGACAACTCAGCTTCTGGTTCCTCGAGCAGAGCTTTCAAGAATCCTAGGCAAAGTGGCCGCAAGCGAGGCAAAGGCGGCAAGCAGACTGGGCGCGCAGATTTCGAGTAAGTTGCTTGTCGGATGCCCATGTTCTCTCGTACATGGGCCAATTTGCACTACCACCTCTTTCTTTTGCTTTGCCCACCCCTCAATTCATCGGCTCTCGCGTATAAGCTTCTTTGCCAACGCGACTTACCAGATCCTAGGCGCATGAAGGAGAACAACAAGCGAGACGGCGGAAGTGGCGATTGGCGTGACTTTAAGCGACGCAAGGTCAACGGCGGTGAGGATGGGGCCAAGAACCCATTCTCCAAGGAAGAGATCGAGGCGGAGCAGAAGCGCCCGAAGCGCAAGGTTGCTGTCATGGTTGGATACTCGGGCACTGGTTACAGGGGCATGCAAATCAACGGCGACGAACCCACGATCGAAAGAGACCTTTTCCGAGCCTTCATCGCCGCGGGCGCGATTGCTAAAGCCAATGCCGACGACCACAGAAAGTCGAGCCTCATACGATGCGCGCGTACCGACAAGGGAGTCCACGCTGCTGGCAATATTATCAGCTTGAAGCTCATCATTGAGGACGAGGATATCGTGGAAAAGATCAATGATGCCCTTCCCGAGCAGATCCGCATCTGGGGCATCCAGAGGACCAATAACAGCTTCAACTGCTACCACGAATGCGATTCCAGATGGTATGAGTACCTGATGCCTAGCTACACGCTTCTGCCACCAAACCCAAGATCTTTCCTAGGCCAGAGCGTGCAAGAGTACGCCAAGCTCCACAATGTTGAGGCCGAGCTTGAGGAGAAGTTTGCCGATGTGAAGGATTTCTGGTCCGATGTTGAGGAGAACGGTGTCAAGCCTGTACTGGAAAGACTTGACCCTGAAATTAGGGCCAAGGCACTTGAGCGAATCAGCTCTGAGGACTTTGACTTGGCGAACGAGAAGGGCGAATCTAAGCCAGAATCTACGGAGAACGATGCTGCGGCAACAGAGGGGACAGACAAGGCAGCCTCTGAGGAACAGACTGCCGCTGCATCTAGCGAGGGAGCCGAGGTACCCGAGGGAAGCCTCAAGCCAAAGAAGCGCGAGCTTGGCCCTCTAGACTACGCTCTTCGCGATATCAAGATGGCCTATGTTTCTGCTAAGCGAAAATACCGTGTTTCCCCAGAGCGGCTGCAGCGCCTCCAGGAGATCCTGACCAAGTACGAAGGAACTCACAACTTCCACAACTTCACTGTTCAAAAAGCCTTCAAGGATCCCTCCGCGAAGCGTCATATCAAATCATTTGTCGTCAATCCTGAACCCATCATCATTGGCGACACAGAATGGTTGTCTCTGAAAGTACATGGCCAGAGCTTCATGATGCACCAGATCCGCAAGATGGTTAGTCTTGCAGTTCTGATGGTGCGATGCGGGACCCCTCTGGACCGAGTCCGGGAGAGTTACCTGGAGCAGAAGATGGCTATTCCCAAGGTCCCGGGCCTGGGCCTGCTCCTCGAGCGTCCAGTCTTTGACATGTATAACAGGAAAGCTAAAGATTCCCTTGGCAAGGAAACTCTTGACTTTGGAAAGTATGAAGAAAGACTGGAGGCGTTCAAGAGGAAACACATCTACAACCGTATCTTCGACGTGGAAGAGAAGGAAAACGCGTAAGTTGCTCTTGCTCCTATCTTTAATGACATAAGGCTGACGAGAATAACCTTTTTAGGTTCCACTCCTTTTTCAACCAGGTTGACCAGTTCAAGCAAAATCACTTCTTGTGGGTAACAGCAGGAGGCATGGCTGTTGCCAAGATCGAAGGCCAAGGCCAGGCCTTAGCCGATAAGCAGCTCGGTGACGAGGATGAAGAAGATGTCGAGGGAGGCGAGGGCTAGATAGACTGTATAATACCCCTAAAAATTTGACCGTTTGACTTGCTGCACCTGCTCATGAACTAAAACTGTTTTTGTCAAATTTGATGATTGAAGGGGTATCTATCTGAAGACTGCCAAGAACAAAAACACACCCTCTACCAGGCCCTGAAACCGGCCGAACCGTGAGAACCCCCGAAACGCCTCAAATGCCATAGAAGATAGACCCTTCTCAAGCCCTTACCTGCCCGGGTGTCTCGGTCGTAGGAGCAGGCGCAGCACCAGGTGCCGCCGGAGCGTTGGCCCCCGTGGGAGGGGCGCCGGGCACGGGCTCGTCAACCAGCGGCTCCCAGGTGCCGCCGTACTTCTCCGCCAGGCCCTTCATGCCCGAGGCCTCTACCTCGCCCAGAAGGGTGGCGACCTTGGCGACGTCGCTCTCAATCTGCTCATCCTTGGCCTCGTGTCCTGGGTCTTTGCCGAGGGCACCAAAGACCCAGAGCTCCTTCATCTTGCGGGATAGGGCGAGAAGCTCCTTTACTGACGAGTACTGGGTTCCGTAAGCTAGGGTTCTTAGAAGCGGTTGATGAAAAGGATGGCTTAGGTATGGAGAGGGAGTGGGAGGGCGGGCCTATTACCAGTCCGTCGAATTCCATCTTCATGGAAATTCCAGTGATGGCCATCGCCTCTGGCTTCTCATTGATGCGCTCACCTTCAGATTGAATGGTGGCGAGCATCATGAGGGTTCTGTAGCGGGTGAGGATATCAGCCACTAGACGCTCATGGATGTCTGTTGAGGTTAGCTTTAGCATGCCACGATTTTTCTTGAAGCGCGGGCGATGGGCGAAGGGGCTCGAGCGGAACACACATACCCATGAGATTGGAAGAGGCGGGTTGCGGTCGATCCATTTTGAAAGTGGTACGCGTGTGCGCGGATGGTGTCTTGGTTGGAAGAGGTTGAAGATTTGGCTGTTACGCCACCTTGAGCAATCTCTCCAAGCTTGGCGATTTGGCCAGGGCTCCTTCGGCTGTTTGAAGTTTTGTCTTGGCGTGCATTGAGCACTGAGCGCGGGGGCGGGGTAGAGCTTGAGGCAAGTCGCAGCTTGGCAACATAAAAAAAATCAGGAGCTCTTCTTGAAACACAGAAAAGAAGTTGATTGAGACGAATTGTCGCACGAGGCACCACTCAGTGGAAGTGTATAACCCATACTGTGCGGTTCGTGACCCACTGGAATGGCTTAAAAGCCAGCTTTTCTTCTTCACGTTACACCCGCATGTTGTGAGATCTTGAGGACCGAATGCCTCTTGTATTCAACTTGACCCAGGTTCCCATAGCTGTATTATTAAGTCAATCTAAGTTCAATATCCTGTTCTAAATGTCCCATATATCCCATAACGCCTTGAAATAGAGGTCCCAGTTACCGTCGCGCACGTTTTTTTGCGCTAGTTTTCCACCAAGTGTATTGTATATCCGTTGTATGTGTCATTCAGATTCTGCGACGATAAGAAGAAATCGTCCAAGACATCGTCTATTCACCTCTCAGGGAGGCCCGTGCCAATTCCTGTCTTCCTTGTTCCAGCCAATCATTGGCCAGCCTCGCGGCAGAGTCGAGAAAGGTGGGAGGTAGTACTGGCCCTCGCACTCATCCTGCTCGCAGTCCAGGTCGCAGAGACCGTACAAACGGCAGTAACACTGACCGGCGGCGGGGCAATGGACTGCCTTTTTTCCAAAAACCACTGCAATTTCAAGTTAGCAACTTGAGATAAGATAAGAGAGCATGATGCAAAGGAGGTAGAAGAAAGCCTCTGGGGAGGTAGAGGGGGGTTTGTTCACATACTGTGCCAGGAGTATTCGAGCACGCGCCCGCTGATATCATCCCCAAGCGGCGACGTAATGAGCCAGTCTCGATATCGTTCATAATCGGCCTTGGGTCGCTTCCATATCGTCTCACGACGCACGGCGAATTGGGAGCAGCATGTGACACCAATGGCCTCTGGAACAGGGAACTCGGGGAAGAGCTCCTCGTATGCTTTCTTGTATGCCCGCTTCGCATGGACGGGCTCTCCTTTCTTTCCCGGTACGTCGTCCTTGATGGGATGGATCTCGACCGGGCAACCAAGGACCCACACGCATCGCAGGTTGGCATACCCTTGCTCCTTGAGATAGTCGAAGCGCAGGCGCTGGAGGAGAGGGAGGGCGTCGTAGTCGACGTTATCGTTGTGCCATTGGAATCGCTCGGCGTGGTGGAAGATAATGTTTCCGGGCAATGAGTCGTATCGATCAATGATGTATCTGGCGGGCGAGATAACGGTTAGTGTCTTGGTGTGGGTGGGTTGAGCGTCCAGGGGCGATGGGAACATACGTAAGGAACACCATGGCCTCTCTCCCCTTATTCACGGGCACAGTCAAGGCGGCCGTGGGATCATCGACGACGTAGATGTTCTTTTTCCAATCCAGGAGATAATCGTGCAGCCAGGTCGTGTTCTCCTTTTTCATACTGGCGATGACCATTTCGACGTCATTTTCGGTCGATTTTTTGGGGGTCGACTCGGTTTCGGGGCGTGAAGGGGTTTCGGGCCGCGCTGGAGTCTCTGGGCGTGCTTCTGGGCGTGATTCGGGGCGCGATGCGGTCTTGAGGTTGGGATTGTTATTCTCGGGAGGGAAGATGGTCTCGCCGTAGAAGACCCAGACAAAGAGGACGACGCAGAAAAGGGCAATCAGGTTGGTGCGCTGCCGTGAGCGCCAGGTCGCCATGGTCGGTGGGTTGACCTGCCCAGGCAGGATTGGGGCAGGAGCTTAGCTGTCGGGGGATTGTTGTATGTGAAGCCAAAGGAAAGATCAAAAAGGAAAAAAAGAGAATAAAAAAAGAGGCTCCGGTGGTTGACGAAAAAAGGGTTGAAGCTGTCGTCGTCATTCAATCTATCGGATCCCTATTCGATAGCTGTATCGATAGCTGTGTCGATTAGCGCCAATTGGCACGCACGCCAAGCTTTCAGGGAGTCTCGGGAAGCACAGGGCTCAAAAAGATAGTACGTAGGCCCTTACGTGGATGATGGCCTGGGAAGCGGTCCACTGCACCACCATCCCTGTGTCTCGGTTTCAGCCAAGAATGGGATCACCGGCACTTGGAATTGACAAGGTAAGGTGGTAGGCACGGCACGATGCAACGGTTCACCACGAGACATCTGCCAATCTGGCACCACCACGCTGTGTCGAGCCTCTACCCCTCGTTAGGTAAGCACACACGAACTGGTGACACAGCAGGTTTGGGCTCGTTCTCGGCAATCGGAATGTGGAACCCTCTATCCGTACACCATTTGAAAATCCTGGCATTGGCCAATATTTCTCCCTGTAGCACGGATCTCAAACCTGGCTGATACGCTGTGGGTAGTGGCATCCCACACATATGTACGCTGTCATCGCCGATCTGCGTCCTCAGCTCCTACGTTGGCACTGGCTAGTCTAGGCACGCTTCATCTATAGAGACCAGGAGCAACTGCTAATTCAATTCGTAGACTGAGTTTCATAGCAAAGAGGAGAATAATCGAAACCAGGCTGGGAAACTCCGTTACTGGCGCAGCCAAATCCCTCACCCTCGTTGACGAAAGTCCAGCCGGACTCTGCTTCTTGATATGAGTCTTGGTTGAAAACCGGGAGAGGTCCTGCGTCATTAATATACATCCAACTACCCTGATCCCCAGCATTTGAAATACCCGAGAGCCCTGGCGCCTCCAAACCCCAGGTTTCGCTGAAGTCATTCAACGATGACACGGAGTTAGACAGACTGGGGCATTCAACGAGGCTGTTCAGATCAACCAGCGAGGAGTCAACCGACCTCGTCCCAAGCGTGCTTCGCTCAAATCTTTCATGCGCGACCTCAAACAACTCGCTCATGTTACTCTGAACCGTATCGTTAGCCCCCACTCCCTTCTCCTTCAGAAACTGTTCCGTGATTTGGTTTCCTTCGTTCTTCCAGAATTCCTTTATCATCTGGACAGTTTCCTCTACCATTGTCCCGAGTAAGGGGTCACGAGACTGTGGCTCATCCTTAAACAGGATCCTCCAAATGTTCCTCCATTCTGCAACGGGCGTCTCTGTCCGGCCAGCCCTATGCCGCCTGAGCTCTCTTCCCGTTTCCGCAGAAATGGCGTCTGAATCGCCGGCGGCGCAAGCAGACCGGGAGTGTCTCCGGTGAACATGTTGCTTGACGTCCCGGATCCGCGTCAACTTGCGGTTCATGCAGTCCATATGGAACGTTGGATGTCTTCTATAGAATGGACATGCAAAAGCACGACCTTCATGTTCATCTGTCCGTGGGGACGGATGCCCGCCAAGAGCGCGATCTCTCCTGTCAGGGTCGTTTAACACATCCGCTAGATAAGAGGTTCGCTTATGCGAGACAGATGGCCGGGGGTAGGACTTCTCAATTGAGGGATCGTAGGGCTTCAATTTCTTGGGGTTCGATCGGTGCCCAAGTGACGAACTGGGACTTTTCGTCGTCCCCTGAGATGTAAGCTCTTTTCGCATGACGTATCGTGAGATTGCCAATTAAACAATGTTATTGAAACACAGCTGTGGTGGACTGAGGCAAGAAGGAATGGAAACTATTCGGTAATATGCGTTTTTTTGGTATATGTATGTGTTCGGTAAGCTTTCGTTGTTTGGGAGAGCCTGGATGCCTTACGGCTCAGATCGAATTTGCACTTTTCACCGCTTCTTAAAGCCCCTCCGAGGCATATTATGGCAAAGCAAGTGGCGTGAAGAACACACGGTGCGGAACTAGAGCGGCAATCTCGGGGCTGTGATTGAATGGCATCGTGACATCGACACATTTGGGTGGGTGGGTGAGGCTAGAGCAAATGCTGCACAATTGTGAGGCGCGTGCCATGGCGCCATGTCCCAGGCACAAAAAAGTGAAGCGAGCTCTTGGCGAAGCGTGTCGCTTTGGCAATGACTCGTGTCTCTTCTTTCTTAATTTCTGGTGTTTCTTTGGGCTAGGTTTGCCACCTAGATAGTCGAGTTGGCATCGAATCCTGCGTGTAAGCCCACCCCTCCTCCCTCATATCATCGGCCATGCAACAGTGCTCCGAGGGACGAGAGAGTTATGCGGTAATTGAAACCCGTGGCAAATTCATTTTTACGGTCTGCCAACGGTGGCTTTTTCTCTTGCATCGCCCCAATCCTTCTGCCTTGTGTATACATGATCTGATGCTGCACCTAATTGGTGGTTCGCGAACTACCTACACAGAAATGCATATGGTCCGGTAACGGGAAAATGCAACTGAAGCGCGAGCCTTATTGCCCCCCACACTGACATAATTTTCTTACAATGGCACCTGAGATATGTAATTCTAGTTGGTTAAACAGCTGGGGTCACTCACATGAACACCGGTAATATTTGAAGGGGGTGAGGGGCTACGAGGCAGCGCAGCCGCCTTTCTTGGAGTGGAGACTGGATGTGTGACCGAAGGAAAGGCTACAAATTATATGAACATCTCTTTCTGCATATTTCGAGCTTTGGCGGTGAACAGCCAGCCCCAGACTCTTTGACTGAAGATGGAGCCTCGACAGCATTTCCCACATGTGTAGAGAAGCCCTTGGCAAAATGTGCCCCCCAGTCGTTGCAGGAACTTGATAGCAACCGAGGGAGCTCAACTGACCGCATGATTTGAACAAGGTTTCACATCTACCTACGCAAAAGTGTGCCTGTGGGTTTGCGAATTGATAAGCTGGCTCCGCCACTGGATATTAACCTGCCTATTCAAGGTGGAATCAACGAGTTTACTAATTTTTTGGAGGATAGGCATAGAATGAATAAGGAATTTGAAAGGAGTGTAAAGTCTCTAAACTGGCGGCGAACAGCCATGCGAAGACTAATCTATTATCAAGCTACATTGATCATGGAGCATGCGTCAACCACCTCTCTTCCAAGAATCCAAGCTGTAGTCGAAGCTCCATCGTAGATTTATCCCAACAAATAATCAGACACAAAATATAAATCATTGATAAAAAGTATTGGAGGCGTGGCTCTAAGTCTAAGCCACGGCTTCGGATGATGATTTAGATCCAATTTCGCGGTCTTTGTCTGCCGCCGGCCGAAGAGGGAAGGATCCGCAGCTTTATTAGTTTGTATTGAAATGTAACCTTCCCACATGGCTAGGTAGGTGCCTCACCCACCGAGTCAGGGTCAGAATGTGCAGCAAGTCTTTACTCGAGGCGTTTTTGGCTATTGCTGTGTCCTGTGTGTGGCTGCTTGCACTGCCCGTGATCCTGATTCATGAAGGTATATATGATCCGAACTGGGACTCCTGGCATACGTATTATGCAAGCATCTTCACTTATGTGGCAGTGCTTCCGATTGCCCGGCTCTTGAGTCGACCGTTTAAAGATCAGAGTCCCTCGTGCAACCACCTTCACCATCTCCCTTTCATTTGATCTGAGATAAGCAAGCCTATAAGTTTAGGTCACCGTTTCGCCATGCTGGTGGCTAATTTCTCCCCACTGTTTGGCTCCCTATTCACTCCAGCCCCTTACGGGCTGGTGGATGTCACTCTCTCGCTCTATCAGCTGCTTGCGACTATTGTCGCTATTATTATGTTCTGCCTTCGAAAGCTCTGGCAAATACGGTCTCAACTCTGTGACCGAATCGGGTTCCCTTGCCACATGTTCCAGTCCTTCTTGGAAAAGGTATTCTGGGAGAAGATGTATTGGTGGAAGGTACGGGGTGTCACTCCCAAGTCCTCGCCGAGCCTCACGACCAGGCCGCTTCTCTTCTGTGTTCCCGAACCCGCCAAAAACCCGGGTTGGATTACCTTGACTATCTACTGTTTCTCTGACAGGGTTGATTATTGGGTTGCGGGAACAATTATACAGCAGGTCGGAGGGTCAACGCGATCACGCCCCACCGCCGGGTCCGGAGCCGTTTCGAGCGGTGTTCGAAAAAACAGGGCGGGTACCGGTGGGCGTACGAGCAAAGCCAACGGGGGACAGAAGCCATCAGACCGCAGTGGAAGAGGAGGCGGAGGCGGCGGGGGGAAACACCCACGCAAATGGGGAAGGCTTAGGTTCAACCTCCCGCCTGACGGCCCCAACAGGAGAAACTGGGCATGCCCTTTCCACAAATACGACCGAGTGAGATACCACTCTTGCGCCACCGTCACGCTCAGCAGGATCCCGGACGTATGGCAACATATCCTACGAACTCACGTGCTATCTCTGAACGATTACTGTCTTTTGTGTTTTGCTGATTTCGAACCGGGCCCTCAGCTGGCAGAACATCGATCCCGCCAGAGTTGTGTACAGATCCCCGGACCTGAGCATCTCCGCCAGCAGGATGTCTCGATTTTGGACCCTTTTCTTCGAGCACCATCTGGTTTGCCGAATGATGAAGCTAAATGGTATCGAATTTGGACTCATGTTTTCCCTGGCTGGGTGTTTCCAGAAAACCCTTACGCAGAGGGCGCAGTGGAGCTGGCTACGAATGTTTTGAGCATGGGCCAGCCTCAGATACGCTTCGCGCGTGTTGAGCAAGATAACAGTTTTCTGGAACAATGGCACACGGTTCAGCCAGAAATGGGTCACCCGGAAGCATACCCTCACGTAATGAATCCGTTTGGGGCAAACCAGCCCGGCATCCCTCACCTAGGGCCTCATGCCACCAATATTGGCCCAGATGTGTATGGCCAAGGGGCGGCATTCATGGATCTCCAAAATCCCGATGACTCAGAGGTTGAGGACTATGATGAGGAGGAAGGCTGATTAGAGGAATTGTCATTGGCTGAGAGCCGTCGGAATCGAGTTGCTCTGTCTCACGGAGCCTCTGGAATCTAAAACTGGACGGAACAGACTTCCTCGCCTTATGAGCTGTAATGGCCCCGTGAGAGAAGGGAAAGAAAAAAAATTGAAAAAGAGAGAAAAAAAAAGAAGCGCAGCAGTGTCCTTTGAGGTGTTTTATAGAGGGATCATGGGGTTGGGCTTTTTTATGACGCCTCCTGATTTTACGTTGAAAGAAGAGGGAAGAAAACAACAGAAAGAGAACAAAACTTAGGATGAGCGGCATCTTAACCTTTGGAGTGTCCCGAAGTGTCATGGACTTTTCAAGTCTCAGTCTTGTTGTAGGATGTATGAGCATTTTCTTGATTGGGCTGTTTGGGAATCATCGTTTCGTGTCCATATTAATTGATTTCTAATTTTTGAAATTTTCTTTACATTTCCGTGTGTAAATATTGTACAAATCAAAGGTTCTAGTTTCGAAACTGTCCCTCATTTCCCCACAACCACTTCCTGGTCACCCATTATCCGATCGATGATCCCATCTAGTACCAATCCTTCGATTATTCTCAAAGCTGTTCCATCCTGTGACATTTGCCGTTGAGCCTGTTTATTCTTACGGAAGAACTCCTGGATAACATCTGTGGCGTTCCGTGCCCAGTAGTCTCGTGCCATACCCACTCGAACCTCGTGAGTGCTCTCAAGGTAGGGTGTTTCAAAGCTGTCGAGTTCAGCATTCGGAAAAGCGATGTCTCGTACTTTAATCCATCGCTTCCTTTCTCCCATGTACAGGTTGTGATGCTTCTCCATTTTCTCAATTTTCAATTTCTGACGTTCAGTGATACCCTCTACGTCACGCGAGGTGCTGGTCTCACACACACGGGCGAGGAAATGCCTATCGCGCTCTCTTGCACCGTCGAATGGTCGGCAGCAGCGGGGACAATAAGGCGGCTCTCTGTGACGCTGACCCATGTGCTGAATGACATCCTCAACGGACTGGAGATCATGTTTTCGCAGACATTGCTGATGTTTTGTCGGGTTGGAGAGGTAGTAGGGGCAGGCGAAGTGAAAGTACCCATCTACACGTGTGACAGAGACAACGTTGGGATCATCTTTGTCGATCTTTTTGAAGTATACTGTTGATTGAGGTTGGCGGTCTCCTGTCCTGGCTCGTTTACGAGGCGGCAACCTGTCGTCTGGTGGCGGGACGTAGCTTGCTGAGCTCATCCACTTCTCAACTTTCTCGTGGGAGAAGTCAACAAGCTCTGTCTTCATGGCTCGAAAGTTTTCATTTGCCGCTTGGTAAATCTCATTGGAAATGGCGTTATCATGCCCGAAATCCTCCTCGTCGCTGCTGATTTCCGATTCTGAACCACTCCCACTCTCCGAGGAGTCGCTATTTGGTTCGCTTTCGTCGCATGTTGATGAGTCGTCGTATCCATCATTACGACTTGAATCAAGATTGAAGGAAAACGTTCTTAAACCACATCCCAAATGTATATTGAGTGGCTGCCCGGACCTGTCTCTCTTGGTCCCTGCCAGAGCCTCCGCGGGAGATGTTCTGTTTGGATGATGCTGAGAAAAGGCTTGCATCGGCGGCCTAGGATATCTCGGCAGATCCCTTTCGGAATTACATGCCAACCTAGGGGAAAACGTATGTTGAAGTGGATGAACTTGTGTGAACCGAGCCATGGGTTGCTGCGAGTGGCTGGCCGTCCGGCCACCCACCTGGAAGCTTCTCCTTGTATTAGATGTGCTGAATAGTTTGTCACTATGGGCCAAGACACCCGTGGGGATCTTTGAGACCTTTGATAATACTTCGAGGTATTCTGTCGATGATTTGGAGCATATATAGTTCCATTTCTGGTCATAGAACTCGACGTGTGGTGCCACCACTAGCTCTTGAGGAGCCGAAGCTCGAGCCCAATACCTACACGTTGACCAAGCCTTTTCGTCGGAAGAGGAAGCATGGGCGGGGAGATCTTCTAGGAAGATTATGCACAAGGCTGAGTCTCTTAGTCTACCAAAAGAGTTTTCGGCGGCCTTTTCCACATCCATCAGTGAAGTTGAATCAACACAAAGACTCTTCACCCATAAGTAGTGAATGCCCCTGGCAAGTGCTTTCTTACAAGCACCGATGATCACATCTGAAATGGGAAGCTTTTTACCGCAACTAGTGTCTGTTGCCCATCTTGATGGTCTCTGGGTTTCCCCAGTCTCTTGGTTCCGTGCGTAAGGGTAAGGGAATATGGCATAAGGGGGCGGCAACTCCGGGCGGGACCACACGACCACTTCGCCGGAGGTAATGTGTAGTAGCTTCATACTTTGAAATCATTTGGTGGTGGAAAGAGTTGGAGTTTTTTTTAAAATGGAATTCTAAGATTGTCGGGAAGCCTGTTTGATAGCATTTGCTGAATGCCCCAAGGTGCCATGATCTTTATAATTGAGAACAAGAGCACACTTGTTCATTTAATCGCTTGTTTTCTTCAAAGGAACATGATTGAGCGTGGGATGATCAATCACCAGCTCACCCTTCTTCCGGCAGGATTCTGCCCCATCAGCACACCTGTGCAACACAATTGTGCCACCCAATGAGATACCGCGCTGATACACAAATGTGTGAAGTGTGTTCATTCACATTTCAGAATATGAGAGACGATATAAATTTAGAAGAGAGCACAGTAGCCATGTCTTGCAGCTGATTTTTCTCCTCTCCATGCGAACCACCATGGTTCGCATGCCTGGCAAACATCAAACGTCTCCCGTGCGGCTCGGTAGACTTTGGATGAGCTAAGAAAAAATACCCGTGAGATTAATCAGCGAATATATTTACACACATTTCGCACTTGAGTATGTTCTTGTGCAGACATCGGATGGCACAAACTCCCAGGCATATGCAGATTTGAGGCCTATCGGGCTCCTTGTGTAGTAAATGGGTCGATTAGGCTAAAATATCAGGGAATAGTATGTGCTATGACAGCATCTTGCTTCATATGATAAGTTTGATAGGCTCGTCCAGGGACCCCAACGGGCTGTTGGTCGTAACCATGGCAGCTGATTGGTGACTGTTGTGACCTTTTGCGATCTGCAGTGTTGGATCAGTGGGCACTTCGAGGAGACTCTGGCATTAATTAAACCCGACATTATGCGGGTTTCTGCAGCTTCGTCGCCCAATTTCTGCCCTTCTCACTTATTGAGACCGAGGAGAGCGTCCCGAGATCCCATTGGTAAGCCTCCAAACACCAGAGAGCAATCATATCCTGACACATGTTAGTCTTAGGCTCGAATTAGTTCTCAACGGATATACCCTTGGGCAATAATCAATTATGCGTCGGAAAGTTGCCTTGGCTTTGTGCCACCGAGATTACTTCTCTCGCGGGCATTCGCGCGAGACTCTCGGCTATAGTGCTTTCCACTGGGTTATCACTGTTATTCCTGAGGTAAACTATGGCAACGGCTGCGACGAGTATGATGCCACTGATTCGTCCGAGATCGATCAAAAGACTTGGCGAATGATCAATCCCAGTATGGATTGGTATTTTCGTGTTAGGTCAGATGTCGGTCTCGATCACAATCCCAAGACCCTTGGGCGCATTGTCATTGGATCGGTGCCGGATGAGGTTTCGAGGGCGGATGTTAAAGATCTGCTTGAAGCGATTCCTCTACCTGTCAAGAATACGCACCCACAACAGAATTGTGTGACATGGGCTATGTGTGCAGTACAAGAGCTTCAGAAGAAGGGATGGGCACAAGAATTTGACATTGGCCAATTCAAAGACTGGGCACTTTGCTATGCAGATGGGAGGCTGAATACACTAGATACACGAGAGACCATCGAGGCATACCCGGAACCGCAGATTTAAGATGGGCTGGAGGATCGGTGCAAGGGATCATGGCTTTTCGAGTGAACAGGCTATCGTATAGGCGGATCCACACAGGCCAGCCAGTAAATATAAACCAGAGAATATACTTTCTTGACATAAAGACATTTGAAGTCATTGAGTTGAGGGTTAAATAGATCGGGGTTAACGACAACCGTGCCATCAACCCAAGACCCCGCATGAAACCCCCCCATGATCGCCGTTTTAACCGCAGAAAATGTGCAGCAATTGAGACCCTCGATTATCTGCACGAGCGTGTCTGGCTGCCCGGGGCCACCTCCAGGCTAGCTGCTTTGAACCGGCAGTGACCTTCATCCGCATGCTCCAGAGGCATTATAGAATAACGCGGAGGAGGATCCGAAATCGGTCATTGAATTCCTCGGCAACGGCCCGGGCATCCTCCACTTCATTGGCGGCGAAGGACGATCATGTCGAGTTCATGCCGTTGCGCAATCGGGGTTCAAATGACGACATCCGGAGCACCCTTCCTGGCCAACGATGGCACGCATTTGGACTTCACTCCCCCGCAGCATAGTGAGATAACAAGCTAAAATCCATTGTAATTGCGAATCAAGGTCGTATTTCTAATCAGTTTCCCAATAGTGCTGGATGTGGTGGTATTGGGTCTCCGATACAGGATTGGACGGCTGGAGTTGAGCAATAAAAGAAGCGCGTTCGGCCTTGTTGCAGGATTAGTGAACCAATCTGCTACACCTTCATCTTCAGTAAGCTTCCAATAGGATAACCTCACAGGTAGTCATCACCATGCCGTCAGCAGTGCCGCAGCTTTACCAGTACACCCATGTCCCCGAGACAAAGGAGGATCTGGACTGGGCTGAATGTGAGAATGCAACTTGTATTCTTTGGGGAGTTCAATCATACTGATACTCCCACAGTGCCAACCATTGATCTTGCCAAGTATGGTACCCCCGAGGGTAATCGCGAATTAGCAGATACTCTGCTGGAGGCCATCCGCACCAAGGGATTCTTCTATGTTATCAACTACGGCATTAGCCAAGATGCTGTTGATAAACAGTTTGCGCTTGGGCAAAAGTTCTATGAGCTGCCCCTCGAGGAGAAGCTCAAGTATGTACCCGACCTGGACTCTGGAGACTACAATGGCTACCGCCCGGGGGGCCGCCGTTTCTTGAGCGGCGGGCTCAGGGACAAGACTGAAGTCTGGAACATGGCGAGTACGTGGGAGTCCAAGTGGTTTTGGCATGTGGTGGCTATTGTAGGCTGAGCTGACGCTTTGACAGCGAGAGCCGGGCACATCACCCAGCCTGTACCCAAGCTGCTTGAGGAGCGCCTTGAGGAGATTGACGGCTTCGCCAAGGACCTGCACGACAAGATCCTGGACCCCCTGAACCACCTGATCGCCATTGCTCTGGAGCTTCCCGAGGATTTCTTCGTCAACCTCCACAAGTGGGAGACCCACGACGAGTCGCACCTGCGTTACATGAAGTACAGCAAGTTCTCGCCCGAGGAAGTTGAGAAGTTGGAAGACGGGCTGTGGTCGCGCGGACACACCGACCTGGGCTCAATCACCCTCCTGTTCCGCCAGCCCGTCGCCGCGCTTCAAATCAAGGACCACGCTACTGGGGACTGGAAGTGGGCGAAGCCCCTGGATGGCAGCTTGACGGTCAACACCTGCGACGCTCTCAGCTTCTTGACTGGTGGATACATCAAGTCCACCATCCATAGAGTGAGTTTCAAGAAATATAGCAATGCTCGTGCATTTCAATCTCGAATTAAAAAAACTGATGATATTCGTAGGTCTCGCTGCCACCCAAAGACCAGCGCCACGTGGACCGTCTCGGCCTCCTCTACTTCGCGCGCCCTCAGAATGACCTGGTCCTCAGCACGGTCGACTCGCCGGTCCTCAAGCGTGAAGGGTACACACAGAACGAGTTTGAAAAGGATGGCCACAAAGTACCCACAATGGGCGAGTTTACAACCCTCAAGCAGACCTGGCAACAGACGAAGGATAAGTCGTACAAGGACGCCGAGGGACAGGTAATATTGCCTGGCTTCAAAGGACGGACATTCGATTAGAGGGAACAATGAGCGAAGCACTGGCTGTTTCCGTACTCTGCCCGCAGACATTTCTCGAATACAAGAATTTGATCCTCATGCAACCTGTGCGAATCCCCCTCTAGTTGTGGAAGGGCGTGGATCGGGGATAGGAAGGAAATCAAATCAAAAGGCCGGTCACAGGGTTGTAGGGATGCTCCAATTGGAAATAGGGACGCAGCAACTCACACATCTTTGTGGCGATGTCTCGGACTGTTACATCCGAAGGAGTGGCTGCTTGATGCATACACCAACTTTAAACCATCACGCCAGACTTCCCCTTTTCCTTCATCCAACCCTCCGATTTTGTCAATTTGAAGTAGGGAAAGCGAAACTTCTTAGTAAACTTGCCATGCCACAACTTTTTTTCACTCAGGTTATTATTGCCACTCAAAGTATCGATATCATGCTTGCAAGTACATACTTGTAGTATGCATATTGGAGTGGTATATTGTGTCTTATTCTCCCGCTTCTTACCCGTTCATTCATTCTACCACAGGTAGAAAATACGGGGGAATGGTCTACCAGGCCACCATATAATAGTGTGGTGCTAACCGGGATGTGGCGAGCTTGTTTAGAGACGGCCGGGCCCCCCTGAGCTTGAAAAAGCTTGTATCCCGAAGCCGACGATAGCCCCTGAGTAGGAATTTTATGCAGCCCCAAGGAAGGGGCGATCCTGGTACTGTGCCTGGTGCTGTGCCGTCAGTATAAAACGAGACAGACAAATGGCAAAGGGAGAATTCGTTCTAGAGACAGTGGGCTGAATCAACTCCTTTTTCATCAACAGTTCAACAGGGAAGCTCAGCGCTGCATTTGATGCTACGGCAAGTTTGAGCACTCATTCACCAATGTAACACCGAGGACTGGGTGCCCTAGGCCTGAGTCAGGCACAGTGGCTTTTATGCTGTAGTCCACTGTAAATTTCGATGATGGAGCCCCCAGGTGGAGGGTTAGGGGGTAGGTGGAGCCTGAGAGGCCGCCTGCTACGACAGGAGCGGTGCCCACACGCTATTTTCAGCCACTGGGCGGCAGCTACTTCGGTGTGTGGGAGGGAAGTTCCGTGGTTCACGTCACATCCATCTGAAACGAACCGGACAGACGCATGTGTGTTTGAGTTTTCTCGAACAGGAGGTGTGTGTGCGTGTGTGCGTGCGTGTCCAGTGCTGTAGGATGCTGCTTTGGGCCTCTTGCCCGTCGCCAGCGAGCCGCGGAAGCCACCCAGCAGAGTTTTCCTTTGATGTTCCTTTCTTTTTCTTCCCGATACCCGCAGACATGGGAGGCCAATACGGGGAGGCTTGCACTGCCTCCAGGCACATCACCGATCCGTGTAATTGGCGATACGAGCGTCCATTTTCCCCTACGACGGACTAGCAGGGACATTAAGTAATAAGGAACCTCCACTGGGGTCGGCCGTTGACAGAAATCAGAGGCTGGAGCCAGTCAGCGTGAACTCCACGTATTTGCACTGTATTACCTTATTTCCACATGAGTGGCGGCAAGTCCGGGACATCGGCTGCTCGCTCTGGAAGGAGAACAAACGGATGGGTATCCCAAAACGAAAACAAGCGTCCGAATGCCTAACCAGAGCCAGGGGCCTGCAGGTACGTGAGGGCTGACACGTCAATTGGGGTGGTTGCATACATTGCTGTTGCCAATTAGCTACGACAGCTTTCTGCAGGTTCCAGGAGAACGAGAAGCGCGCGCCTCACCAGGTCGGTTGGTATGTGGGAGCCCGATCGTGAATCTTCCGGTCTTGTCTAGTGCGATGCCAAGTGTCACCCACCAGAGCACAAGCTCTAATTTGATTATGAATCGTTGTTTACCCAATCCGTGGACATAATGAGCGGCTCCATGGGTTCCTGGCACCCGTTCATTGGTTCGGATTCTGCAGACCCCCTGGTCTAATTCTGAAACTTGGGCCGTGGCGTGCCGCGCTTTTTCAACGTCCGCTGCTGGATGAAAGGTTATCCCTGAGCTTCAAGGAGTCAAGAGGTGGGAAAAAGGAGGACCTGTACATGCATAATGGCATGAAGCTGTGGGGTGGAATCAAAGCCGGGCATCCATCGGTCAACAAGTATAGAATCGCTTCCTTGACATCGCAGGTATCCATTCGTCCCCTGCCCAGGTTGGCTACTTCCTTTCCGTTCCGTTCCCTCTTCTTCTTATAATCCATTTCATCCCATCTCCCCCAACATTCTCATTCTTGTCCTCATACCATTCGTTAACCATCTACTAGGACTGTGTCCTATATTCTAATTACATGTCCCTTTATTAAGGCATACCTCTACCACATAGCATATTCACCGACATCTACACTCGTTTAGCATCGTTGATCCGATTGCTATATCCCATCTACTAAGGCCCTGCTTTCCTACCTAATCACTCCTCCCCACATCCCGGATATCACCAACCTTCATAATGGCGGACGGCATCGCCCATTCGACCTCGAGTGCCGATACTGCTACACCTGCTAGCACAATGAAGATCAAAACAGAAGCCTCGAGCTACGCTCGCAAAGAGGGTGGTCACGAACCGGTGTCTCCTCGGCTCTCATCCGCCCAGCATTTCTTCCACAAACGATCGTCCCTGGATCTCGATGACTACTTTACTGGTCCTCGAGACATGGCCAAGCATTCGAAATGGCCCCTCCTCCTGCGAATGCATGGTAGCATTGTCCCCAAACTAATTGTGCCACTGCTTATTGTGGGAGCATGGGCGACCATGATCACGGTTCTCAATCGGAAGCTAGGTGTTCTCGGCGTGAGCAATGTCCTCCTCACCATCACTGGTTTCGTGATTAGTCTCGGTCTTTCCTTCCGTAGCTCGACTGCGTACGAGAGGTATGCTGAAGGCCGTAAGTTCTGGGCCAATATCATCCTGTCGTCACAGGCTCTCGGCCGAGTTATCTGGGTGCACACTGCCGACCCCCCTGAGAAGGATCCCCGCGAAATGATGCTCAAGAAAGTGAGCGCCATGAACTTGGTCGTGGCCTTTTCCGTCGCCCTCAAGCACTCTTTGCGGTTCGAGCCTTACACAGCACACAGCGACATGCAGCATCTCATCGGCCATCTCACCACCTACGCCCAGGAAGCTACCCTTTGCCAACCCCAGAGAGCGGCCCCTCCCAAGAAGACCTTCATGAAGGAAGTAGGAGAGTACCTCGGTGTCTCCTTTGCTGAGAGCAACCCCCGAAAGCTGCTCAAGAAGTCAGACCAACCCCTCGGCAACCTCCCTCTCGAGATTCTGAACCACCTTGCCGTCGCTATCGACGAAATGGTCCGCAACCAACAACTCGACATCCCCATGCAACAGACCCTGGCATACAACAACCTGAACATGCTCAACGACGCCCTCGTTGGCTGCGAGCGTGTTCTGAACACCCCTTTGCCCATTGCTTATGCGATTGCCATCAGTCAGATCACCTGGGTTTACGTTATGCTTCTGCCCTTCCAGCTTGTTGAGCCTCTTAAATGGATCGCCATCCCCGCCACCATTGCCGCCTCCTACATCATCCTCGGTCTCCTCTTCATCGGCTCGGAAATCGAGAACCCCTTCGGCCACGACGTCAACGATCTGCCCCTCGATGTCTACTGCGAACAGGTTTCCCACGACATGGACGTCATCGCATCATTTGAGAAGCGCGACTGCACCAGCTTCATGAGCAACCATCTGAACATGCCACTGTTCCCCGTCAGCACCGCCCCCGTCGATATCTGGATGGAGCGCAGCGAGGAGAAGCTCCGAGAGACCATCAAGAACAAGCCCAACATGATGTTCAGGATGAAGCGCGCACGCGAGGAAGGCAAACCCATCGGGAGCGAGGACATGGTTTAACATCCATCTTCAAACATTTCATGCATTTTCCTTATCAAGAAAAGAAATATTATATATTAGTCTGCATGCCCTGTCTCCGCGAAGGAGTTTAAAAACAAGCATGTGGTGTTGCATAAGTATCTAACTCAGATTGGTTTTCATTTATCCAAAATCAGGCCACGAGGTTCCAAGTTGGCCTCCATATAAAAGAGCGGTGGCCCTATGATGTTTTCTACGGTAGCGAAATTTGTTATTTTAGCATTTCAGGTACAAATCTAATTTTTTATCATCTACCTTGACTTTTATGACCAAGTTGGTAGATGTGTTCCTATCCCTTGACTTTTGAATAAAGTGAATGGGGTCTTGCTCAGTGGAACCCACCCTGATGCTATGACCCCCAAAAGATTTTAATTAGGCATCCTCGTCTTCGGTACTATCATTGCTGCTCTGGGGCCTTTTTCTATCCGGTAACCAACGTGAACCGACAGTGAAGACGTAGGCAATCGGGATGAGGATCACCCAGGCTAGCTGGCCGCCGAGGATCTGATTCCGCACGCCGAGGGCGTAGACGACCGTCCCCACACCGGGGGCGACGGCCCGAAGGGCACTGGCGCCGGTCAAGGCGATCGCGTTGAGTGTGCCTAGGACGCGAGGGCCGGGTGCGACGTCGTTGAGAGCCAGCTGGACGCCCGTGAAAGCCATCGAGACTCCGGGGCCGACAATGACGGAGATTGCGGCGAGGATCCAGAACCACGTGGTGGCTGATGGGCTGCCGTTCCGGAGGAGGACGTTGAGCACGATGAAGAGACCGAAGAAGATGGGGTAGACGGCGCTGCAGAGGTTCAGCACGCCCTTGTTGCCGAGCCGGCTATGGAGAAAGGGGAAAGCCAGGATGAGCCAGATGGCCTGGCTGGCACCTTGGACGGTCATCCAGAGGGAGATTTGGTGGGTGGTGAGGCCGATGCCGCCGAGCTCGACCGAGGTGTAGAGTGCTACGGGCAGGATGGCGGTAAACAGGAACGCGAGGAGCATGACGTGGGTGTACAGCCAGAGGACGAATGACACACCGGGCGATCTGATGATCTGCGACATGGACATTAGGGGTTCGGGCTGCTGGACCAGCTCGCCGGAGGAGTTGATGACGGGCTCTTTGTCCTTGACCAGAGTCTCCTTGAGGTAGAGGGAGCAAGCAACCACACCAGTCGCGCATATGCCGCCGGTGATGAGTCCGGGGAGGGCATAGGGATACTTCTCAAAGAACTCGATGCCTTTGAAAATGTTGGGATATTGCTCGACGGGGTTGGCAAGGATTCCACCGAGGATGGGGCCCAGGACGAGGCCTATGTTGCCGCCAAAGGCGAACCAGCTAAAGGCACGGGCTTGGGTTTCTGGCGTGCTGTTCTCAGAGACCATGGTCCGGATGACGAGGTTTGAGCTAGAGAAGACACCGGCAACGCACCGGTAAAAGATCATCTGCCAGATAGTGGTGGACATGCAGAAGAGCAGGGGAGTGACGGACAAGCCCACCATGCTGCAAATGAGGACGGGCTTCCGGCCGATAATGTCAGAGAGACGGCCCCAGAAGATCAGGACGAACATCTGGATGGCGGAGAAGAGGGATTCTATCAGTCCGCTGTAGAACCCGATGTCCGACTGGGGGAGCTTGCCGTTCCTCTCAACCATCTCGGCGATGAAGGGGAAGATGGCGAAGTAGGCAATTGGCTCCATCATCCGGGCATAGCACAGGAGGAACATCTGCACCTTGTCCAAAGGCTTCTCCACGGGTTGGTCACCATCGTGTTCGGAATCCTCAGCATCGCTGGTGGAGTTCCTGAAGAGAGGCGTGCGCTCCGTGGCCTCCTCATGGGAGGCGCCATGGGAGCTGGACTTGGCAGTCATGTTGGAAATACGGAATACACAGACAACCGAACTGCAACAGACATATCTCGGCGCCAAGCACTGGCGCACACCTTGCTATTAGCAGCTGTGAAAGAAGAAGACCTGCGATCTTCTCCTGGCTGGCCGAAGTGGGGTCGACATGCGGGTGGTTTGTCAGCGGTTCGAGCACGACATCGACATTGTCCTCCAACAACATTACCGGCACACTCAAGCAAAAGAGTGGCAAACGGTCAAGACAAGGCTCGAGGCCACACCGACAGAAGTTTGCCCTTACGCACTTCGGCGGTTAGTATCGTCGATGAAAGAACATCCACCTCGCCAAGCCCCTGCCCTGCACATCGACTCGTTGGAGCTAGGTACCTTGAGGTGTGACAAAGATCAGTGGGCACTGAGGCCTTGCTCGCGGCGGTTGTACACTGAACGGGCATACTACCCCTGATCACCTGAACATTTCCCCAACAGATCCCCGTTTCGATGCTTCAAAAACCTCATGTGCCTAATAATAAGGCACCTCTGGGCACGCGTTTCCCCAGGTATCTGGATCTTCTACATTGGTTTCTGTTCGAAGATAGGCGCCGGCTGCACCTTTCAGCCTCAGTGTAAGCTAGCTGGAGCCCTGGAAAGGGTGTGTCAACAGCTCCCAGCTCGTCAAGCCAGCCTATGAGCTGCGAGTGTCCAATCTGCGGGCCAAAAAGCTAAAGATCCCCCATGCCCATGAGCTGAGGTTCTGCAGCGTTGCAATTACTACACACACCATTCTACAGGCTGAATGAACTGCGTGGCTGCCGATCCCTGTGTGCTGCGGGATGCGGCGCTGATAAGCTGGGACTTCCGGCCGGTGCGGCCCTGTAAAAGTTCGGCAGCGCAGCGGAGGAGAGCGCTAGAAAAGCCCACTAGGATGGCTCCTAGCGTCTACCGTAGCGCACTAACGACGAGGGTGGGTGTGACAGTGGACGCTGAAGCCCTACGACAGCCCCTACCCGAATCATCAAGGATGGGGGGAAAGGCGATGCTCCCCGATCAATGTCAATTATCACCAATAGGGTAAAGCAGCATCTAGACCTGCAGCTCATCGTCACCTTCCAATCCAATGGCACTCTCTCTTCTCCCTCTGCTTCTCCGCTCCCGGGCCATCTCTCGCAGCAACTGATCTGACTTTAACTGCGGCTGCCAGCAATTGGGTGGGAAACCTTGATGCTGTTCCCCCCACACCGCTGCTGCTTTGCTACCCCGGGACTGACTCAACAGGCCATTGCGCTTGCTACATTACCTAGGTAGCTTCCAGAGCCTGGTCGATGGGGCTCTAGGCATCAATTGCCGACATATACCTACCCATCACCACCCAGCCCATTTCTAGGTCATGTCGATTGTTCATGCAAGGCGTTCAGGCGCATCGCAGTGGCCCTTAGGGTCTCCGTTGGGAAGCTGGCATGGACCTCCCCGAGGATGTGAAGAAGCTGCCCGTGCGAGTGCAGCCCACGGACGACAAGTCAGATATTGGTAAGACACTGGATTGACTTTACTGAGCTGCATAATGCTAACAACTTTCCTTAGCGTGCCTAGTGTGTCGATCAAGAAAGGTGTTTTGTCTCGCTCGCGCGCTCTTTTCGCGCGCACGTTGGCTGATTCTTAAGTGACCTAGGTAAAATGCGACCGTTCACTACCGCACTGTACCAACTGTGTTCGTCTGGGACTCAATTGTCCTGGATACGACGTTGAAACGCAGACCAAGTCGCGGAGTGAGATCCAGAAGTCAGCCGAGAGCATCTTCAAGGCTTCCGGCGTCGAGAAGCGGCGTGTCGGGTCATGCTCTGAATGTCGAAGCTCAAAGCACCGCTGCACACGTACACGCCCATCGTGCCGTCGGTGTGATGTCAAGGGCTTGGCGTGCGTTTACCCCGACAGGCCTGAACCCAATCGCTTCCATGGACAGTCGCAGGTGTTTCCGGGGGGCAGTGAATTCCAGCAGTTCCAAGTGCTGAACCCAATTGGCGACTTTGAGGCCGATAGAGACCTGTAAGACTTTATCTGTAGAACAGTGAATGAATACGAGGAACCTTTCATGCTCATCCAGATTAGATACCATGCCCAGAACCTCCCAGATCAACCCTCCTTGCGTCTTAAGCTCGTCACCGCCTTCTTCGACCGTTCTTACCACCTAAGATGCCTTGATTTCATCGACAGGCAGGCTTTTATGGAATCTTTCGAACGCGACAGCATCATACAAGATTTTGGCGAACCCGTCCTCTTGGCTGTTTGCGCATTGGGAGCAAGGTATGATCAAATCGGGCGTTTTGGGTAACGAGAAAACTAACCATCCTAGACACCTATATTTGGACTATCTTTTCTCGATTGGATCAACAGCTCCTGCTCCAGATGAGTTTCCCGGGCAGCCTTGGGCCGAAAAGGCTCGAAAAGAGGTGCTGTCAGAGATGAACAATCCAACTGTGCAACATCTGATGGCAAGTTGCGACACGCGCTGCAAATCCTCGCCCAACGCTACAACAGGCACTAATCCATTAAAATATACAGGCCATGGTCTTGCTCTGCGATTATTCTCTAAGAACAGACCAGAATTCTTTGGCGTTCATCCTCGTTTCGTTCCTCTACCGGGTGATTCGCCTTCTTGGGCTGGACGAGCCCGACGAACTGTTGCATTCACACGACCCCGCCTTCACTCTGCAGCGTAACATTGAAAACCGCCTGGTGTGGGCGTGTTTCTTCATTGACTTGTTTATGGCAACCGCTGGAGAGAAGAATACCAGTTGGGGCAATCGCGTCCCCAACCTCCCTCTGCCAACTCAGCAATCCCACCGAACTATGGGCTCTCCAAAACTTTATCTATCAGATATCGAAACTGTTGGAGTGATGCAAATGACTCCAAATCTTGATTTGTCGGGCATAGTTCTCATGACTGTGCGCCTACGAATCAAGGGACTGCAGTATGAACGCCACCTGTGTTGCCTCTATGTTGTCGCCTCGCGCATACTGACCTTGCACTGCAGTCTGATCAGGAAACAGCCTCAATCCCTCAGCGTAAACATATGTGATCCTTCGTCCGCCTTTATCAAGATAATACAGCAAGTTGAGACTATCTATCGTTTGCTACCTCGACACCTTCGACTCGACGATGACAACATTTATAACTTGAAAAGAAACCAATCTCTCGGCGGTGTGTTCTTTCTGCATTTTCTAATACATGCCGCGATATTTGACCTGACCAGGGTGTCTCTACCCGGTTTTGCATTTCCAATCGCGCGTGCGTTTCAATCCGTGTCTACCGAGTTTTCTTCATATTGTCAACAGCGGTGTAGATTTCATGCGGCACGAGCCACAGATTTGGTTCGCAAAGGGTTACAGCATGGCCGAACGCCTTTCGATGACATGTTCACAGCTGATGCAGCCCTGGAGGCGATCAAGATTCTAATCATATACAATGCCACTGTCGATCAGTCACCAGATATCTCTAGGCAAACCTGGGATGATGTCCAAAGCACTCTGCATTTTTTTGATCTCTTTCACTCAAGCAAAGATGGCCCAAAGTCATATGTATGCCTTTACCTTCCCTCGAAATATCCTGGCTTCGATTAACGAGGATAGATGGGAACTCTGCTTCCATTATGTTACATTTTCGGCTTTCGCGATGCAGCCGAGCCATATCGAACGAAAGATCCTATTAGGTGCGCATGCCCGGAGGATACCTAGCGGTGCCATGCTGACAGCATATACAGCTTTAACGAGGATCCTGCTGAAGTAACTGGCTCCGCAGAGGTTGAACACCTGTCACAGTTTGCGCCGTTCCGGCGGGCGAGAACGAATATCAAACGTTCACAATCTGCGGCAGGATCCAAAACTCCTTCATCACAAAACGAGCAATTGTCGCTCGTTATGCAGCCCCTTCCTAACTTATTAGACACAAGCATGTCGCCAGTAGGGAACGAGCTCCCTCCCTTCAACCTTCAACCCGACTATCCCTCCTTTGCGGCCCAACCATCGGGAATCTCGATGCCTGTCTACGGCAACGATAATGCCCAGACGGTGGTTACATTGGGCTCTATAACGCATCCGTCGGAAACACCGGCAATACCCCAATCATCTATGACCACGGGGGATTACATAAGAGCTGCTGATGAAATGTCGGGGTTTTTGACTTGGCAGACGTCGGATTTACCACCGTGGTTTACCTACGACAACCCATTTCCTCCGGGATACAGGTAACGGGCGTGGGCTGATCACCTCACTAATGCGATGCTACCTCCCGAATTTTTCAACGCGTTTCTACTCATCACCTTTTCTTTATTCCAAAAGTGCACACGACAAACCACAATACAGTTACAGATATTAGCTCTTTTCGACGCAAGAAGAAGACAGCAAAAAGCACATAATTTGGAGGAACAACGGAACTTCATCTGCTAACATGATCTAGCCCTTTCCCCCCCCCTTTTTTTCTTCCTTTTTCAATTACGAATATAAAGATACACGTCGTCACGTCCTGTCAATTTCTTCATCCTGATTATTACGGCAAGAGGAGGCTTTCAATTGTTATTGGGGGATACTAATGAAGGCATTTCCAGCTACATTATGGTTATTCTTGGTACATATGAAATGAAACTGGCCAGCTAGAGGCATGAAAATATCCCTGTGCAATACGACCTAATCGTTGGAGGAAACCGGCGAGGCTATCAGGTCGTCCAAGCCTACCATCTACGCTTCTACTAACTCAAGCAGGTTTCCCAAACGATTCAATAAATGCTAAATAGGAAATCGACACACCTACTCAAATTGGTAGCGTCGTACCCAAAGGTTTGTTGGCGAGTGTTCCGACGTCGGGAGAGGGGTTGGAGGATCTCCGAAACTGGAAACTGGCCAGCTCGTGACCGATAAATCCGGTTTGGTCTCATCCGAAATGGGTTGGCGACCCCTGCACGCATAATCGATGTGCATCTCGGTTGGAGAAGGCATCTACATAAACGTGGGGGGGTGTGATGGTGGTGTGATTG